GGGAGAAAGATGAGACTTTCTACTCCTAGAAAGATTTACACCCTCGTGAACCCTGTACAGGTCACTATGAGTCAGAACCGACTCCACAGCACATAACGACAACAATATATATGTTTCACTGGTTTTGATTCTCTAGAAAACCTGGCCGAAGACAGATGGGCTACAAATGGACCGGACATTCCAAAAACTTGTCTCCTCACCCTTACCATCTGCCTTGATGGGAACAAGTTTATGAAATTGTTCTACATTTTGGTGACTGGATAGAAGATTGTGCCTCTCAAGGACCTTCTGAATACTGGCAGTGATGTACCCACTGCACTTTAGATAACGCATGCAGCCTTGACTTTTTTACTCAGACCTCTGTCCACTAGAGACTCCTCAATCTTGTATAGTTCTGGGTAACGTGTGCTGGAAGACATGCTGACCATAACGTGGTCACTAATTCCTATACTTGTATACAGGGAAAGCAGAAAAGTAGTTGACCTCAGATCCATTTCTCAAAACCCCCACAATACCTGAAACTCTTTCCAAAAGCCTTTGCCAGTGTCTGCCCAAATCTCTCCAGACCAAGGTAACTGTGAACAAGATTTTGTAGCAGGATGTGGACAAGGTACCCTCCCTATATTAGGGGCAAAAAAGTAGATTTCTAAACAAAATGCTGGTATGATCCCAGCACTGTTGAAGGTATTGTTTATGTGTAAATGAGTACTTACCAGTATATATCTATGCACACACACACCATACACACAGCACATACACACAACACATAACACACACATGCATAGAAACGAGACTTCAAGGATACACTCCAGAACGTTAAGAGTGTGATTCTAGGTGGAATTCTTAAATTATTTTTATTCTTTTGGCTTATCTGGATTTTCTGAATCTTCCATGATGTGCCCATGTTATTTTTATAATTTAAAACAGGCAATAAAAGTTCATATGTAAGAGAAATAATGTTCAAAAATGAAACACAGATCACAATGACAATTTAACAAACTTAAGCAGCTATTTTGCAACAAAGACAATGAACCCAAATTCCGTGACTCTAATAAAGATGTTCTTTCACCTTTTGCTTTGTGGGGTTCATGGGCACAAAGCGTGATAAGGAAGTAAGATAAGGACTCGAAGTATGAACGCCCCATCCATGAACTGAGAGGTTGTCTGAGTGGCCATGTGGCCTAAATGACTGATTTATATGATCTTTAGAAAGCTTTATATGGTTATAGTTGATTAAATGCGGGCTGCTCTCATTAAAAAACAAACAAGCAAGCAAGCATTGCCATGCCCATAGTCGGGATCTAGGTTGGTGTGATAACTTTTTTCGTGGGAAAATCCATTTGACTTAGTCATTTTGAGTCTAAATATTTCCCCCTCAGGTTGTGTCAAATCTAGACCACAGGGGCATGTTTATTATAGCAGTCTTTGTGCTTTTTCTGCCTTTATGCCATTTTTTAAAAAGGAAATAGGATAACAAAAGGGCCAGCCTGTCTTGTTCACTGAGCACCAGAAGTGAGGTTGGGAGAGTCAATAGCTTCTCTAATGCATTCAATTCAATCACTCAATCCCCTCAGAAACAGTGGCAGAGCACTGATGATGAATGACCCTGACGTCATATAGGAAGAGAGAAGTCAGCACACTACTGTTGCTGCTGTTGTATGCCATTAAGTTGATTCATAGGGACTCATAGGGACCCTAAAGGACAGAGCAGAACTGTCCCCATAGGGCTTCCGAGGCTGTAATCGCACACAGAAGCAGAGCACCAGGTGTTTTCACTTGGGGCGGTTGGTGGGTTTGAACTGCTGGCCTTGTAGTTAGCAGCTAAGCACTTAACTATTGTATCATCAGGGCTCTCACCACTGAGCAGCCAGCTGGAAGTGGCCCAGAGAGTGACAGGAAGTCACCGGGAAAGTGGCACCTGGGAGGGTCATTCTGCTCCTGGAAGGACAGCAGCAGGGTTCCGGCCAGGGCAGTGAGGAGACCAGAGCTCAGTGTGAGGATGAAAGCTGGAGGCCATATATGATGGCGAGTTCATTGACTTGCTTCACCCAAATGTCTTCAGTCACATCCCATCTCATTCATTTCCACCAGTTCTTTGGGCAGATGATGCTCCAATGCCCTCTCTCCGGCTGTCCCGCTCCCGGACCCCAAGCTCACTCCACTGCCACAATGGCAGCGTCGTAGGTCCACATCCTAGATTTCCACCCTGAAGGGTTCCACTTCCCACACTCCTCAGATCAGATGAGTTATTGCCCAAACTGCCAGAAACTTTAGTCCAAGCCTTTCTCCTTCACTCAAAAGGAGCTCTAAGCACCTTCATACTTCTATTGTTACTTGTCCACCCACTCCCAGGCCTGGCCATCTCTGACAGTACAGGTTCAAACTCCCTAAAGGGATTGACCTGTTCCTTCTCCACCTAATCCCTATTGATGCTTCCAGCACCATCTCTTGCCACAACTGGCCCTTGGCTGGTGCTCAGCACAGCAGAGCAGTGTTCCCTTGGCCCCTATGTGGGGCTATTTCCTTTACCTGTAACAGAGCTGCCCTGGTCCCCCACATCCTGATCTGGTTAACTTCCTCTCATCTTCTAACCTCAGCTGAGATGGCATTGCCTTCAGGTAGCCTTCCTGTGACTCTCAGCACCCACATGACCCCTTCCACAGCTTTACTCTCTGGGCAGTAATTTACCTGACTTCCTGTCTGAATCCCTCAACAAATGTTGAGTAACTCAAGGTATTCATCACTCCTGCCAAGACTATGCCTGGCATCCATTAGGTGCTCAATTAAAAAATAAATTAATAAACAGCCAAATGAAAGGATTTTTTTAAAAAGACGCTCCTTGTGAATGGGGACACCGGTCTGCGGACATGGCTCAAATGTGACCCTTTTTTATACTGGTGTGCAAACAGCCACATGATTCCAGCTTCTTCCCTGTCAGCTTCTCTAATGAATCTTCTTGGAGTATGTCCAGGGACCCCTTTGTAAATCATTCTCCTTGCCCCATTTCCTCAAACAAAATGGAAGTTTTTAGGCCATTTAAAAGGACCAGGAATCCTATCTAGTCATGTATCTACTCCCCTGTCAACTTCCCATAGTCACTGGGTGGTGCCAATGGTTAACATGCTCAGACTGGAGTTTCTAGTTTGCCCAGAAGCACCTCAGAAGAAAGTCCTGGTGATCTATTTCTGAAAAAGCAGTCACTGGAACCCCTAGGGAGCACAGTTCCACCCCACCACAGACCACCCCATATGTGGGGTCTCAACTCAATGGTAAATGGTATCTACTTCCCAACAGAAACGAAAGAGAGAGAAACCAACCCAAGAGACAGACTTGCTTTTTTCCTGGTGTGGCTGTAAGGTAAGCACTGGACAGTGAACTACAAGGTCAGCAGTTCAAATCCATCTGCTGCTCCTCAGAAACCCTGTACAGGGTTGCTATGAGTCAGAACTGACTTGATGGCACTTAACAACAATATTAACAAAGGAGTCCTGTTGTAGCTCTTTAAGATAAGCACTAGACTAGTAACCACAAGGTCAGACGTTCAAACCCACCAGCCACTGCTTGGAACTTTATACAGGGTTGCTATGAATCAGAATTGACTTGATGGTACTTAATAACAGTAACAAAAGTAAGCCAACTGTGTTTGTCTCCTCTGAGGATCCATATAAAGACCTGGTAACATATTAAAGCCAAGCCAAAACCATTGCCATGAAGGCAATTTAAGTTCATAGCGACCCTGGATAGTGTTTCTGGGAACAGAAAGTCTCATCTGTCTCCCATGGACAGCTGGTAGGAGTGAACTGCTGATCTTGTGGCTAGCAGTCCACTGCTTATCCTACAGTGCAACATCAAATATTATTGGTGAATGCTAAATTAGGGCAGGGCGCAGCAGTGGGGCTAAGTACTTCTAAGGCAGTGTGAACTCATGCGAGTTGGCACAGGAAGAAACCAGACAGACCTGGGCCAAATTCCAGCTCCATCCTTTGCCCAAGTTGTGACTTTAGACATTTTCCCCTCCAGAAAACAAACATTAAGGATGCCTGCTCATGGGGTTACTGTGAGGACTGAATTGAGTCAGGGGCTGAGACTTTCTGGGTGCTCCATAGATACTCTCGGTCAGAAATTGGGGTCCAGTCCAGTGTCTGGCCCCATTGTGCCTGTGTATGGGGAGAGAGAGGGGATGCCAAGCCAATGCATGTGACATGAATGGGCAGTAGCACCTTCTGGCCAGGTGGACCATCTTCCCCAACTGATGAAGAGGCTTGCTGCCTGCCACAGTTACGGCACACACAGGTAGGAATCCCCCCGTTGGAACAGGCTCTGCCGATCTGGCTGAAATGTCAGTGTTGTTAGGATGTGTTCGCTCCCTTGAAATGTCCCTCTATTATTTTACAGCAATCAGAAGAATGACACTGTTTGAAGAATGTTTAAAATGTTTATAACCAATGATAAGGAAACTAATAATAGCTAGCAATTCTGGAAGTGCTTAACTGTGTGTGAACCTGCTGTTAGTCCATTTATTGTACATTTGTTCTGTGATAATCCTGTAAAGGGGATACTGCTATCATACCCATTTTGCAAATGAAGAAACTGAGGCATAGATCAGTGGGGCAACTTGCTCTCTGTCATGCAGCTAATAAATATCAGAGATAGTGTTCCTACTCAGAACATTTGACTCCAAAGCCCAGATTCTGAACTGTCTGTTAAAATTATAACGAGTGACGAGTCCAGTCGCCCTGGACTCCTGGTTACCAATAACCCACAGGAACAAAGATAACAGTGTTCCTGTTTTAGAGGTGGGAGAGAGGAGTCTTAGTATGCAAAAGCTCTCAGAGACATTATCACTCTAGTCTGCACTCCTTTGGAAGCAGGGAGCCAGGCTGTGCACAGGATTGGGGGGCATTGGTTTATTCAGTACATGGTTTGAATAGGAAAATGTCCCTAGTTCAAAAAACCTCCATATGTAGTGTAAAAATGGGAGGGGCTGGCAGCATCTACAGTCAGAAGGCGGGAGTATAAAGATCGAGAAAACAAGCCTTTGCTAATTTAAAATGTGAGATCCAGTTCAGTCTAGACCAGACCTCTCTGTCCCTTTTTTAAATGGCCACAATCCTTTTTGTATATAAACATCTCTCATTCATTTTATTTCTTCAACCTCTGAGTCTCAGTTTGATCACCTATAATGTGGGGTGTTTTCTGCATGCTTAGGAACCACCCCTTGAGAAACTGGGCAGTGTTTCTGTGTGTTAGCTTATTTAGCAGGGGAGGAGGATGCCAGTAAGGGAGTTGGAGAGTCTGACAGGATCGTCCCATTTTCATTACAAGCTTCCTTGCCCTGTCTCTCAGATTTTCTAGGAATGAAGCTCTAGCAGTAATTTACCAGGCCCCCAGGCTTCTGAATTCCTGCACCAGACCCTCTACCCCCACAAACTGCTGATCTTGTGGCATCCCATGGGTGGCTCTCCCCATATCCCATCTCCCAAAAGCCCTTAAAGTTAAGGAGCTGTTTCTTCGTTCATTCAAGAGGTCTGTGTGCTGAGAGAGGAACTAAGGGAAGGTCTCCACAACACAGACCTCCAGCAAAACATTTAGCAACTGGGGCCACTTCACAAGTGCTGCAGAAGGACCTAGCTACAGATGTCCCACAAGGCATAACAACAGTGTAATGTGGCTGAGACACCTGTGTTATGTCAACAATTTTAATCTGGGCTTGTAGCCAGGAGGTGACAAAAGCCTCATTTCTTTGCATTATTTGCCAGTTACGGAGGATTGAAGGAGCCCTAATGGCACAAAGGTTAAGTACTCAGCTGCTAACCAAACAGTTGGTGGTTCAACCCACCCAGTGACTCTGGGGGGGGAAAAAAATCTGTCAATCTGTAAACATTACAGACAAGAAAATTTTGTTGCAGAGTTTGTTGGAGCTTTGGTGTTGCACTATAGGATAAGCACTGGACTGTAAGGTTGGAGGTTCAAACTCACCAGCAGCTCCTCAGAAACGCTATACAGGGTGTTTATGAGTTGGACCTGCCTGGTCAGCAATGAACAACACTGTCATGTGGGTTGTTATGAGTCAAGTGACTCAATGGCACCTAACAACAAAAATCATTTTAAAACGGAATGGCACAAAACATAACACCTGGAAACAAGATACCTTTGAGTCCTTTTATTGGATTTTTAATTCCCAGATGTCTTTTTTTTTTTTTTTTCTGTAAAAAGAAAATAGGGAGGAGTTCTTCAAGTAAAAAATATAGAAATACGTAATTCAATGTGAACATAACATAAAAAACAAACAAAAAAGCAGATGGCACAAGCCCAGCCCCCTGAAACTCTGATCCAATTAGGGAGGGCCTGAACTTTCACTTACTTAATTCAAAGCATCTACTTGCTTCTAGAAGGAGCTCTGGTAGTATAGTGGTTACAAATCGGGCTGTGAACCTCAAGGTCAGCAGTTTGAAACTACCAGCTGCTCTGCGGCAGAAAGATGAGTCTTTCTGCTCCCATAAAGATTTATAGCCTCGGAAACCCTGTACAGGGTCACTGTGGGTCACCACCACTTGCTTCTTGGAGTCCTGGTGTAGCGCCAGTTAATGCACTGGACTGAAAAGTCAGTTTGATCTGCAAGGTCGCCTGTTCAAGCTCACCAGCCGCTCCTCAGAAACCCTATACAGGGTGGCTATGGGTTGGAATTGACTCGGCAGCATTTAAAAACAGCAACACTGCTTCTTGAGACTCAAGTGTATTAGGGCTGAGGACAAGGCTGAGGACAAGGCCTCCCACTAAGCAAGGGTCCTTGATATGACCATGCTAATCTCCCCCAGCTAGTTCAACTAATCCTGATGGGACAAGGCCACTGGCACATGTTCCTTGAGCAAATGCAACAGGCCTGTGCATCAAGGTCGTTTAAAAAAAAAAAAATGTATTTATAAACTATTAGGAAACAGACTTTAAGGTTTGACTTACGTTTTAAAAAAATATTACTGACGCAGGACTCAGACTCTTCCCGCGACCCCCCAAAAAATCCTGCGTGAAAGATTAATGTGGGGAACCCGCCCCCCCTCAGAGAAGCCCACCTCTGTGTCCAGGCTCTGTAGGGTCACACACCCAGGGGGAGTGCAGGAGTCTTCTATTCGGATTGTTCATTTCCAGAGTTCAGTGTTTCTCACCCCAGACCCAGTGACATGGTACACTTCCCACTCCCCACCCTAGACCAGCCCTGCCGGAGGCTCTCTTTGCTGCTCCTGGGTCCGGAAACCAGAAACCCCGGCAGCCTAAGGAGGGAAAAGGAAGGAATAGAGAAGGAAGCTCCGGGTAGATAACTCAGGGAGGTTCAGGCCCAAGTGCCTTTCCTACCTCTCTCCACCACGTCGAGGAACCTAGCAAGCAGGGCGGACACTAGATTCCCTGGGCACTTGCCTCAACCCTGGCTCCGGGTTCCAGCTCAACCTCCCTAGAAAATCTCGGCACACAAACCCTGCAGCCACGGAACAAGGCAGCAGCGAGAACAAGACGCTGGGGGACCTACGCCGGGGATTCTGAATCATTGTCCTTCACTGTTCGCAGAGTCCTTTTAACATGGTGAACCCCTCTATGACCCGAATGACCACTGCGGGCCCGCTGCCCAGACTAAAGTTCACCGGCCCAAACTTACTCAAAGAGAGAATCTATATGACATTTAGGGAGCTCAGGTACCCCGGAACTATCCTTCCAAGGCTCCCAGGACAACAACCCATGGACTAGTCCCATTTTTCTGTTTTGATGCTGGAAAAACTGAGGCCTCAAGAGAAGTCACGAGCCCCCAAGCAAGGGGCAGCGTTGAGCTTGGGTTTCCCGAGTCCTTTCTCCCTGCCTGTCCTCACACTCCTGCCCGGGAGCACCTTCAAAGCCTCCCGGTGAAGCAGCTGCTTGGATCCCATCTCCTCCTAGTAAGGGGGAGAGACCCTGGGCAAGTCATCTTTCTCTGCGCCTCTGTATCCTTATCTGAGCAAGCGAGCGTGCTAATAACAGTATTGTAAAACCCCACGGTAAAGCACAAGTCAATATAATGTAGTAAATCAGGTTGGCTGGTGAGGTTATCCCTTATTTTATTACATTTTACAGGAATTCTGGGAACTCTACTGCAGCGTATTGGTGGGCAGCTACAGGATCTACGTCGTGTAAACTTGTAGTAAGATTTAAGCGTTGAGGATCCACAGTGCCGAGCATAGTGCAACAAATAACCCGCGTAACTGTTTGTTGTTGCTATCATGATTATCCCAGCTTCCCGTACCCCCCATGCTCCCGTTCCTCAGGCCATCCCGAACACCTGTGGAGCGCGAACGGCCCGGCGCTCACCTGGTCAGCGCCTGGGAGCCACTGCGGGACGACGTGGAAAAAAACGCAGAGGGGCAACGCAGCGAGCGCAGAGTAGCCCCAGATGAACACGAGCATCGCAGCCTGCGCCCGCAACCCGGGGCCCCGAACGCCGCGCCGCAAACGCACGATGCACACCATGCGCTCCAGGCTGACGGCGGCCAGCGAGAGGATGGTGACACTGCCGCTCAGGGTCATCACGTAAAAGAGCAGGTGGCAGGCCACCGGGCCCATCAGCCAGGCCTCGGTCCAGCGTACAACCAGCACTGGCGGGATGGCGCTGGTGAAGAGCAGGTCTGCACAGAAGAGGTTGAGCACAAGACAGGCGGTGGTGCCGCGGCGCCGTCGGCGCGCCACCAGCACCAGGGCGCACACGTTGCCCAACAACGACACCGCAAAGATGATCGCCAGCACGACCGTCTCCACGGCGCTCAATACCAGCCGGTGGTCTCCCTTGACGTCGGAGAAAAAAGGGAAGCGTGTGCGGTTGGCTAGCTCCAGGCTGCGCAGGGGTCCCGCATTCTCGTCCTGTGCGCATTCAAGGGACATACCGGGCGCTCGGCCGCCCGCAGCCGTCTGCGAGCTCGCTCATCTGGGAGCGACTGAAAGCCAAGGCGGGAAAGAGGGAGGGAGGCGGTTGTGACATCTCCCCTTTGGCCACATCCCGACCTGAGCTGTGCTGGGGCGCACGGGAACGAGGAAGTGCCAGGCGACGCCGGCTGGAAACACCCTAGTTGGGCGGGGACGCGGAAGCGGAGGCTTCTGGCTATAGATCTCGGCCTTGAAAGCGCCAGAGGGACCATGAAATCCTAGTAAGTGAATACACAAAACTCGGGACCCTGCTCAGCCACCTCCATCGTCTTGGGCATTAGGTGCAAAGACTTTAGTACACCAGTTTAGCCAAATTCGATTTAAGAATGTCTGAGCTGGACTTTGGAGATAACTTAAGCCTGTGTATGTCCTGGTGTCCTGGAGTCCTGGTGTGGCACTGTAGGATAAACTCTAGACTTTTCAGTTGGTTTGAACCACAAGGTCGGCAGTTCATACTCACCAGCAGCTCCGCAGGAACTCTATACAGGGTCGCTATGAGTCGAACTGACTCAACAGCACTTAACAACAACAATGTCCTGGTGTGATGCTGCAGGATAATGTAAGGTCAGTTGGAACCACAAGGTGTGAGGTTCAAACCCACTAGCCTCTCCTGGAGCCTCACAAACCCTATACAGGGTCGCTAGGAGTCCCAACTGGCTTGACGGCGTTTAACAGTAACAACAATGTTTTCCAGGCCTCACCAAAGAACAGCGAACGTTCTTCTTCAAAGTTCACCATGGACTTGGAGATGCTAGATCCCAAAGTAATTGGCAATGAGCTCAGAAATTTTCTTTTTTAATCTTTTTCTTTATTGTTAACAATACTATTCATTCTCCCTGTATGCCAGCTTTTTTCATTTATTTCATGGGGCTGTTGTGAAGATCTCATAACAATTTAGTACAAAAGTTAACACACAATGATCACTCATTAAATGTTATCAATGATGGTTGTTGTTGTTAAGTGCTATCGAGTTGGTTCCAACTCATAGCGACCCTGTAAAGGGTTTCCAACGACCGGCTGGTGAATTTGAACCACCAATCTGGTGGTTCAACCCCACCTTGCAGTCCAGCACATGATCTCACAGTGCCACACCAGGACTCCATCAATGATTGTTGTTGATGTTGTTAAGTGCCGTCGAGTCGGTTCCAACCCATAGCGACCCTGTACGGGGTTTCCGAGGCTGTAAATTAGATAGCCTCGTCTTTCTCCTGCAGAGCAGCTGGTAGTTTCAAACTGCTGACCTTAAGGTTCACAGCCCGATTCGTAACCACTACGCTACTAGAGCTCCTTCCATCAATGATTAGCTACCTAATTAAAATGCATGCAACCTTGGCATTCTGAGCAATATTATAAAATCCTTTCCTCCAGTGGAGTTCCCCCCAAATCCTGAATAAACTTAACACCTGAGAAAGACAACTTTTCCAAGACTCTCAAGTGTATGCACAGGCTGTGAGTGTGAGTCAAGCCTCCGGGTTCAAGAAGCACCGGGCCAATTCTATCTTAGAAATGAGGAAACTGTGAAGTCCAGCAAGAAGTGATTTGTGTAAGATGGTCCCTGTTAGTAATAGAAACCAGGTCACCTATTTCGGTCCCACACACTTCTAACACATTGTCACTTCTAGTTTTCTGTAACAGTAAATTAGGAAGTTAGAGACTGGGAAGTGTATTTGTGGGCTGAAGCCCATTGACTGTTTCCCTGACCAACCACCCTCTCACCAACCCTCACCTCTCCCTTTTGCCATATGCGGCCTCTCCCAGTTGTCCATTCTGTCTTGTAATTGGCTCTGTATATTTTTTAAGACCTAGGCGCACCAGTTTGAGGTGCTTACTGGGGAAGGGGTGCATTTGTGTGTCTCCTTATTACTGTGTCATGTTTGTGTGAGTTTACAATGTGGCCAAACCTGAGGGTCAGATTGTGTGCCAATGGGAGACACACCGAGGTTGGCCAAACTCAAACTGAAAAACAGAACTAGTTCACTTTCATGGCAAGTGATTGTAATAAAGGGAACTCAGACACAGAGAATTTTAGTAATTGTCTGATTGGGACCAGAGTAGTTGTTTTTATGTGAGGTTAAAGAGTATTTTGTGTGTCAGAGTATGTGAATATGTGTGAGAGAGAGGTGGGGGTGGGGAAGAGAAAGAGAGAGTCCATGGCCACAGACTGGGCTGACATGGAGACAGGAAGGGGTCTTCGCAGAGTGAGCCAGGGCGGGACCTCTGGGTTGGAAGACCTCCTGTATCCTCCTCCATGGTTTTCCTAATGGCAAAAGGTGAGTTTCCCAAACTCTTTGAGTTCATGTTCCTTTGGGGCACCCCTTCATGGCTAAAAGAAATACCCAACAGTTCCTTTTATTAAGTAACTGGGTTCAAACAACTTAGTAAGACTTTGTATCTAACAACGTAGTGCGTGTCTGTTGAGTCAGTTCAGACTCATAGTGAGCTTCTGCACAGCTCTGGTCCTCTGCCATCCTCACAATTGTTGTTGTATTTGAGCCCATTGTTGCTGCCACTGTGTCAATTCATCTCCTTGAGGGTCTTCCTTTTTTTTGTTGACCCTCCACTTTACCAAGAATGATGTCCTTCTCCAGGGACTGGTCCCTCCAATAATATGTCCAAAGTATGAGAGATGAAGTATCCTGGCTTCTGAGGAACATTCTGGCTGTACTTCTTCCAAGACAGACTTATTTGCTCTTTTGGTCCTTTCAATATTCTTCACCAACACCAAAGTCCAAATGCATCTGGAAAAACAATTCACACAAATTGAAAATAAAAGCATATTTTTGTTTCACTTACAAGTAACCACAATTACCTCCTAATGGAGAACGTGCACCTGTTGTGGTTGGCACAGCTTTTTAAAACTGGGAATTAGGTTGGACACGGCTGTGTTCATTTCCTGTGCTAAGCTGCTTTCCCCGAAGTGGTTGCTTTTGATCACAGAAATTCATGAAAAATCAGCTTTATGAAGTTATGATGTCATGGGTCACTGACGTTGAAACAGTGAATTACCTTGAACTAGTGTTGCTGTGTTTCCCTGGGGCACCTGGGGCCCAGTAGTTACGAATGTGTGTTTGGAAGCTAGCTGGCCAGGCTCAGTATCCTAGGTCTACAACTTGTGTGACCTTGGGCAAGTTACTATAACCTCTTCCTATATGTGAGAAGGGATGATAATAATACCAAGTCCATAGAGTTGTGGGGGATTATGTGAAGTTCACTAAGGCAGACTGTACGTTTATCTTACAATAATAGTGTCAAGCACTTAGAACAATGGTGTCAAGCAAAACTTTCTGTGAAAGTTCCGCTGTCTGTCTGTCTGTCTACCTACCCTACCTATCTCCACCACTCACCTTGTGGGGGGTCAGGCTGTGTGCTCAACACTATGCACAGAGTGACCACATTTTCTGGTTGCTGAAACTTACCGTCTCTCTGAAATTATTATGACAACTCTCCAAATTGTCCTGGTTTGGAGGATAAATGACATGGCCACCCCACCTATACATGTATCAACCCATTTTGTTGTCATACAGGTTGTCATTGTTGGGGTTTGAATCTAGGCAGTCTGATTCCAGAATCCATGCTGTAAGCCACTGGACGAGTGATTTTTTCCACCAACCTGGAGACAATGGGCAATGTCTGGAGACATTTTTGGTTCTCACACCGGAAAGGGGAGATTACTACTATGTCTAGTGGGCACAGGATGGCACAATGTCAATAATTCAGTGGTTGAGAAGCGATGCACTAGAGTATGTGACCTGCTGAGACCTTGATCTCTTCCTACTGACCCTGTTGTGGAGTTAGACCTAATGGTAAAAGTGAAGTATCATTTTCCTCATAGAGGTTTTACTGCATCCTCTGTAACCTAATAATGAGCTCACTGGTTAAAGGTTCAGCTTTGTGCTCTGGTCCCAGATGTTCACAGGTATGGACAACTTTTGTCTATGGGGCTGGGCATAGAGACTGACCTCACATGTGCCTTGGCGACAAGATGGCAGGAAACCCTGGGCCTAGCCCTCATTGTGTGAGCTGTATTTATTGCTCTGGTCATTAATTATTATTATTATACCACTTAGCCTTGTCCACTCTTAGATGAAATGATAGAAACGGAGACAGGGATCCGCCAAGTGTAAATATGCACAGTCTAGTTTCAGAGCTAAAGGTACGGTCTGCCTTGTGGCATCAGATCCTGCAACTCTTCATTTTATATTTTTCAACCAACAATGGGGGGGTGTGGTGCACAAGGGACATTTCCTGTATATAGCTTTCTTATTTTTCTTCTGGAAAAAAAATTACAAAGTCTTTAAAGAAATACATACTGGCTGACCCATTGCTTCTTCTCCAAACATTTCTGTGAAAGTTCTTCTGTCTGTCTGTCTGTCTGTCTGTCTGTCTATCTACCTGCCTGCCTGCCTATCTCCACCACTCAGCTGTCACACTGTGGTGGCCTGTGTGTGTTGCCATGCTCTGGAAGCTATACCACTACTATTCTTAATATCAGCAGGGTCACCAGTGATGGACAGGTTTCAGCAGAGTTTCCAGACTAGGAGAAGTCTTTGCAGGCATCAGAGTATCTCTTTGCAAAATCAGGATCTATTGATAAAGTGGAATGCAAAGACCACTTCTGATTGTATAAAGATTTTAAATCTCCATCTGCTTCTGTGTCTCTGCTTCTTCCCATCTTGTGAAGGGTGGTCTCCAGCAGAACCAATTTTCCTGAATGTTCACAGCTGAGTAACCACTTCAGCCAGGTCAGGGTAAAGGAATATGAAAGGCCACCTGGTACTCTGAGCAAGGCTCCTTGCATCCCTTCCTCAGGGATGAGCAAGAGTTCCCAGGTACACATGGCATTAAAGGGCATCCCAGTTCAGGGGAAGCACGCCTGGGAAAAGGCAAATGCTTTGTGGGCCTCAGGCTTATCATCATCTCTACTGTCCACATTGTGTCTGTCAGCAAAGAGAAAGAAG